AAAGGGAGGATGGGAAGGAAACCACTGGAGCTCACTGCCACCTTATTCCTTGCTGTATTTAGATGAGTTAGCCAGGAGCAGATCAGTGTACTGGCTAGGCCTTTAGCCACAGGTGGCCATTGCTCACTTCCCACCTGTGAAACGGGTGGTAATAGCAATCAGTTCTGTGAGTTGTGGCAGGGATTAAATGAGGAAGTCTCTGCAGAGAATATGCCACATGGTATAAAGCAAGCACTTCATTAGCATTATCTCAGTGTTCCTGATGTCCAGGAAATGCGTGGCCACAGTACTATAGGAACAAGTGCTCATTTCATGCACTTGGAGCTCAGCGATTCAAAGCTGAGCTCATCACTTATTCACAAAGCCAGTATTTCTGACTTTCATGAGTGATGGCCACGGAACACCGGGCACTGGAACCAAAACCCTGCCTTGGCTTCACAGCCCATTCCTATTCTCCTCATTCTTCTCCTGCACATGCCCTTACAGACCAAGACTATTTCATTGAGCATTTTGAGATGTCTGCACCCTGGGCTGGGATGTGGCTCAGTGACTGAGTGCTTGCTTAGTATGCAGAAAGCCCTGTATTTAAACACACACACACACACACACACACACACACACACACACATTCCCCAGTCCCTCACCCTCCCGTTCTCACTACGTTTGCCCATCCCACTTAGACCTTTGTATCTCTGTTCGATCATACAGTCAGTTCCTAATCCTGCTGACACCAATTGGATCGGACATAGGTCCCTTTCCTTGAAGCTGTCACATGAACCTTTCTGAAATGTAAAACTGATAGTAACTCTCACCTTGGAATGCTTCCTCCTTCTCCCTAGGATAAAGTCCAAACATGGGGACATAGCAATGGAGTCTCCAGAATCAGCCCTAATTCCCAGCAAGCTCACACCCTCTCTCCCTGATACCCAAGCCCTGGCTGCGTGTGTGGCAGCCCCTGGGATCTGGCAGCAAGGCTCCATGTCTGTGCCTCCCCAGGCCCTGCATCTGGGGATACTCAGCACCTATGTCCAGCCAGGCCCTTGCCTGCTTGTCACATTTCTGGCTAGACCTTCAGGTAGAATGAGACATTCTTGCGGTCTCTCACCACAAGTAGCCACATTCCTTTGGCACCTACAGTACTTTTTGGTGCCTATTGACATGACCTATTTTCCTGTCTCTAAAACCCATACTTTAGCCAGGCACCAGTAATTCACACCTATAATTCTACATAGTCAGGAAGCTGAGATTGAGGATCATGTTTCGAAGCCAGAAAAGTACATGAGACTCTTATCTCCAATAAACTATGCAAATATATATATGCACACACACACACACACACACACACACACACACATATCAAAAGAAGTGGATCTGTGGTTCTAATATTAGAGCACTAGCCTTTAGCAAGAGAAGCTCAGGGACAGTGCCCAGGCCCTGAGTTCAAGCCCCAGTACCAGCAAAAAAATAACAACCCAAAAAACCCATGCTTCTAAGTTCTCATCCCTGGCCAGAACTGCTGTCCCCAAGACATGCTGGTAAGCAAGTAAATGCACCACCTGGACAAGTATTGTAAAGGACTGCAAGTGCAGTGTTTTCTCATTTAATCCTCCAACAACATGTGACAGAGGTGCTATATTTTTACCTTCTGAGGCCAACAGGATCACAGAGCTGAAAAAGATAGTGGTTAGAACTTGAACTCACCTCTTTATTACCTCAAATCAACTATGCTGACATGTCCCCATCAGATATGTATAGCTCTTCACCAGGCTGTTTCTAGACTTTTGTGGGAAGCCCCCATCAGATATGTATAGCTCTTCACCAGGCTGTTTCTAGACTTTTATGGGAAGCTCACAGGAGAGGAATTCCCAAGAGTATTCTGAAAGGAAGAGAGATTCTTGCTAGAGAACTTACTGACAATAGACCTTGTTCATAAATGTATTCAAGGTTAAGATGAAACAATAAGGCCACTAAAGATGATTTGTAATTTTACCTCTCCCGTGAGTTCACATTTCTGGAAAAGCCAGCGTTACAGTTCTGTGGTCCATATTAAATTATCTTCCCAATTCTTCCTTTCAGGCACTGTTCTAGCATTGTGAAATCTCTGTTACAAGGGCATTGTTTCATGATTTATTATACAAGTCAAACTTGCCTTCCCATTGCTTCACTTAATTCTAACCATTGTAAAAAGTTAGAGCCAGCCTGGTACAAAGGCAGCTGTGGGTATGAATATGGTCAGAGTTTAGCTTGAAAACCCTGGATCTCAGAGAAAACAAGTCATTAACTGGAATTTCAGGGTTTATTTTTTCCTCTCTAATGAGCCAGGAAACTATTCCAAATACGTCTGCGATTCATTTATCACTCCCCACTTTAGCAGTCTTCCAAGTATTCACAAGAGTACAGGCTTGCATGTGAGCTGAAGGACTTTTGAAATAAAATCCATGTACCTACAATTGTCATCACCCGCCATCACTGTACTTTCATTTTAGATGAGTTGCTGAAATTACTGGCATCTTCTTTTTAACCGAATGAAGCTTAGCATTTAATACAACACAGTAGACTCCTTTTATCCACTGGGATACATTCCAAGATCCCCATACATGTTTGAAACCACAGATTTTCCAAGTATTATGTATTCTGTATTTTGTATATATACATATGAAAGTTTAACTCTTTATACATAAAAGACTAATAATAGAACAATTGTAACACTACTAGTAATAAAATTGCCACTCTTGTTTTTTGAGGCCCTTAAGTAAAATAAGAATTACTTGGTTTATACTGTGGGGAAGGGACATACAAAGCAACAAAAAAAATCACGTGGTACCTTATAAATACATTAGAAACAATAGCAAGAAAGAAAAAACCACTTGTGTCCTTATCTTGGGGTTCATTTCGCTTAACATCATCTTATCTGACTTTTTCTGCTTGTCTCAGATATATACTAGTTAATGCAAATAAGGGAAACCATAGGACCTATGTTTCTTTGGGCCTGGCTTACTTAATATAATTTTTTCCAACAGGTTGACCATTGCAACAATGAGATGTACAAGACGCTATGTCGAAAAAGGCGGGGGGAGGGAGATGTAATTGTGGAGGTGGGAGGGAAGGGCTGGTAGGGGAAAAACAAAAGAGGAGGCAAACAATGCTTGATAAGAAATGTACTCATTACCTTGCTCATGTGATTGTAACCCCTCTGTACAGTATTTTCACAATAAAAAAAACTTACTAAAAAAAAAAAAAGAATTACTTGCCAGGTGCTGGTGGCTCACATGTGTCATCTTAGCTACTCAGGAAGCTGAGATCTGAGGATCATGGTTCAAAGCCAGACTAAGCAGGAGAGTCTATGAAATTCTTATCTCTAGTTAACCACCTAAAAACCAGAAATGGAGCTATGGCTCAAAAGTGGTAGAGCCTTGAGCAAAAAAGAAAAAAAAAAACTAATCTCAGGGACAGTGCCCAGGCCCTGAGTTTTAAGCCCCATGACTGACATATATACATATATATATACATATATATGTATATATATATATATATATATATAATTTAAACACAAGCACAATTGATGTGGTAGATGCGGTACTAGTGGGTTTATCCAGCATAAATTCACTGGACAAAAGCAAGAAGGAAGAAGGCAGTGCAAGATTCTTTTATGCTATTCAGAACAGCTGTAATTCTAATGAATTGTTTGTTTGTGAACTACTGTTGTGAGAAACAAAACCAAGAACCACTTTATCAACAGACAGCCCTAAGGAATATGTTCTGAAAAGTTTGTAGCATGTACTTGCACAAACTAAAATAGCTACAACATCATTGGGCAATATAACTTAAAGTCTATCATGATATACATAGTCTGTTGTTGATCAAAACATCATTATATAGCACATGCTTGTATTTTAAAGATGTGTATTTGGGGTCAGATATGATTTGGGGGGGGCTGTTTTGTTTTTGTTCTGTGCCAGTCGTCCTAGAGCTTCAACTTTGGGCCTGAGCACTGTCCCTGAGCTTTTATGCTCAAGGCTATTGCTCTACCACTTGAGTCACAGTGCCACTTCCAGTTTTTTTGGTGATTAATTGGAGATTAGAATCTCACAGGCTTTCTTGCTGGGGATAGCTTCAAACTGCAATCCTCAGATCTCAGCCTTGTGAGTAGCTAGGCATGCAGGTGTGAGCTACAAGCACCCAGACCCAAAGTGCTTTATTAAGCAATGTGAACCTCATAAGATTTCCTAAGACTAAAAACATTCTCTATTACTACTTTTGCTCTGGATTTAATTTCGCCTTCTGATTCTAATTTAGTAAATGAAAATAGTAAATAGAAATAGCACTTGCCCACACTTATGGTGTGTTGGGTACCATATTGGGCAATTAATGTACACCATTTTATTTCAGTAGCCTTTAAGGAAGTTACTGTGATTTCTATCTAGGCAAGAGGAAGCTGAGACTCTGAGGGCCAAGACACTTTGCAGGAACCATGCCTCAGAACTGTCCATCTCCCAACCAGTCCCTTCCCTCCAAGACACTTCCCTACAAATCCAGAACTGATTTGTTTTATAGAAGGAAATTGTACTGACTTCTCTCTGACGTGCCTTCTGAAACCCTGATTTCCAATTCTGTACTTTTCTCAAGCATGGCCCAGCTTGAGTTTAGCCACTGTAAAAGCCCCAGCAGTGAACTGAAGGATCCACGTGAGACCATGGAATGACATTCTCTGCCCAAAGGTCATTGTTCCCAACCAAGAGCTGAATCAGGTTCCAGCTTAAGCAAGGACAAATAGGCAGAAGGAAAGTAAGGCATTTACCCAGAAAGCTAGAATCAGAAAGTAATGAGGAAAATAGACCCCCCTCCCCAAAAAAAGCCAGTGAGTGTCTTTGGGAGGGCAGAATGCAGAGAAATTTTGCTTCTCTTGGAGCAGAAGAGAAATTTGGAATATTTCAGGGAAGAAATGGCATTTGAGCAGTCTTGCCCTTGCAGAAGGGGCAAAAGTTCATTTCAAAGAAACTATGAACAAAAGCATAGCAGAAACAGGAAAGGTAAGCCGTTGGCGGGAACTGGGCATCAATGATGCATGTTACCAACAAGGTATCTGCTCTACAGACAACCCTGAGGCTCAGGTGGCTGGTAGCAAAGACAGCAAATCCCACAACCAAATACTGTTATAAGGATCTACTGGTCAAGCAGCCTTTCAAATTTCTTCTTTTTGGATAGTATTCTATAGGTGCATAGAAGTAGCCATGCTACATAATTTTTATTTTAAGATCCTCTGTGGTTTTGCTCTTGCAGAAGGAAACGCCGCTGGCCAACGCCGCATTCTGGGCAGCGAGGAGGGGAAACCTGGCCCTGCTGAAGCTGCTGCTGAACAGTGGTCGGGTGGATGTGGACTGCAGAGACAGTGTACGGAGGGAAGGGCCATGGTATCTGCATGCCCAGTGGACCCCCTCTTTGCACCCCACAGGCATGCGAGCACCTCACAATGCACTTTCCTTTCTATGTTTATTTACTTGGTCATATTATGCTTTTCAAAAAAAACTTTGGAAGGGAAAGTCAGAAAGGAAATTGTTATATGCATACAACAGAAGATGGCCATCAGAGACACTTCACTAGAAAACAGAGTTGGCAAGTTGCATAAAGATATGGCAGTTTAGTAAACACTTCACTAAGAAAGAAAGAAAAAAAGAAAGAAAGAAAGAAAGAGAAAGGCAGGAAGGTAAGAAGGAAGGAAGGAAGGAAGAGAAAGGAAGGAAGGAAGGAAGAGGAAGGAAGGAAAGAAAAGAAAGAAAGAAAAAGAAAGAAAGAAAGATGAAATGCAGATAATTTAATGCACATGTAGGCTGCTGTGGATGTGGGTGTTCTGTTTTGTTTTGGGATTTTTTTTGCTATGTGGAAGAGAAAAGTGAGAAACAGAAAGCTTCACCAGCCTCCTTTTTTGAAATCCTTTCATTTCCTTTTTCAGATCAAAAGACATTGATTGGCTAGCAAATGAAAAAGGGAAATAAAAATAGCTACTACTGCCCCTGGTGGGTAGCTCTTGGAGAACCCTATTCCTCCCCAGCTAGAGGCCATCTTTTATGCTCAGCTGGATTTTTCTTCATCCCTGGGGAAAAAGAGGACCATAGATGAGGAGATGATTTTAGGATTGGAATCAAAGTGTTTTCAAAGGTATCTTTACTGTTTTCCCAGGAACTGGGTGTGCCACTTCCTGCTTCTATTGCATAAACTTGTAAATGAATTATGTTCCAAGCCCAGAAGGAAAATGGTAGTTTGTTCCATTTTTGTTTCCTGGGATATCAGGGCAAGAAAGCTTTAGTTTGCACCCCAAAACCCGCTCTGCACCCTTCTGCCACTGACTCTGTTTCTCAAGGGCTGAACCCAGGGAACAATCCCTTCAGCCTCCCTTCCCAGTGGCTTTCAGATGGGTGTTTGCCAATGAAATCATCAGCAAGAGTCAGAGGGTGGGAGGTGAGGATGCTGGGGAACCCAGTGCCTTCTCTGTCCTGGCTGGCAATGGTGCTTCCGGTCTGCATCCCAGGAACCAATAGCTTTCCTTCATGCCTTCAGACCTGGTTGATCATGGAGCCCCACTCACCCCACTCCTCAGAACTAAACTGTTCTTTGGGTATCTCCCCCCGCCCCCATGGTGTTAGCTCTCATACATGCTAAGCAGTTACTGTAGACTACCACTAAGCTACATCCCAACCCTGTACTGTTGTTTTTAGTTTCTAACACCTAGGGCACAGCTTTATAAATAGTCTTTTTATTAAATCTCCTTCCAGTTATCCTAATCTGAAGATGCCATCTGTTCTTGATCAGAACCCAGACTGATAGAGAGTTCCAGCCATCTGTGAACTGGTGGCCTGGTCTTACTTAGCCTCCCTGGGCCAGTTTCTTTTTTTTGGGGGGGGGGGTTCCGGTCGTGGGGCCTGAACTCTGGGCCTGGGCGCTGTCCCTCAGCTCTTCAGCTCAAGGCTAGCGCTCTACCACTTGAGCCACAGCGCCACTTCCGGCTTTTTTTCTGTTTGCTTATGTGGTGCTGAGGAATCGAACCCAGGGCCTCATGCATGCAAGGCAAGTGCTCTACCACTGAGCCACCTTCCCAGCCCCATCCCTGGGCCAGTTTCTACCACCCCCCACCCCCACCCTTGCCCACTGTCTGGCACTGTGGAGTAAGGCCGTTAGCATTGTGGCCTCACCACTTACACAACCACTTTTCCTCTTTTTCTTCAAGTTATTCCTGTTTAGACACCCTGGTGACTTCTCAAGGTCCGCCTGCTGTACATACTCTCATTCTCTCCAGCTCCCTGAGTCACCCATCCTACCTCCGCCCTTCCCACAGCGCACACACTCAGACAGCTCTGTTTGCTGAATGATCAAGAGCTATTTTAGCCAAATACTGTGTTTTCATGAATAGATTCCTACAGAGATTACTCCCCCTCATTTAATTTTTTCAAAAAATCTCTTTATCAGGAGACTTCTGGAGAGATGGCTCCTTAACTCTAGGAGTAAGTCTGAATGTCAGTTGTTTCAGACATCTTGAAACTTGGAAAGGGCCTCTTAGGCTGGTGACTGAGGGCCGGGGAGATGTGTGGAAACAGTGTAGGCTTTTGTTCCTCTTGGAATGTCACTGGCTGGGCTTCTGCCCCCTCCGCATGCCCCTTGAGCATGGAATCTGGGATCCAGATGGTGTCTTCTGGTGATGACTGATCTCTAGGCTAGTACTGCCAAGGCCCTGTGGGGCCAACCTCTAGCCCATGTAAGAATCCTCTGAGAGCCATTAGAACGCAAGGAGAGGCTCCAGGGCTTTCTTGGGATTTTTTTTGTTTGTGTGTGTGATTACTTCTTTTTTATTTTATTGCTTAATTATCTTTAAGTAGTTTTTACAAAGGGATTTCAATTCAACATGCCAGTTTATGAGCATAGTGCATTTTGGTCAACTTCACCCCTTCTATCACTCTCCTCCATTCCCCTCCCAAACCTCACCCCATATCTTGGAATTTTGGGAGGGGGGTAACTCAAAAGGTGACCATATTCAGGTATTTCTAACGAACACCATTGTAAAAGACAAATATTTTAGAATGGAGGATATCATCAGTGGTAGTGTATTTGCCTAGCATATATAAGGCCCCAGCTTGAATCCCTGGCACTAGAGAGGGAAGGGATAAGAAAGAAGGAGGAAGAAAATGGGAAAGAGCCATAGAAGGAAGAGGAAGGAGAAAGAAGAGGAAAGAAGAGAAGATAAAGGAAAATAAAACTAGGAAAAGAAAAGGAGAGAAGAGTAGAATAAATATTTTTATCTCTGAGCCACCCACTGCTAACCAAAAACTTTGATTTGCTAAGTTTGATCCATAGATTAATGCCATAGTCATATGATGTTTACTTATTTATTTTGCTTTGCAACCCACATTTACTACAAGATTGTACAATGGAAAGATTCTTTTAACCTTTTTAGATGTATTAATGTCTGCATTTCACATTGCTTTTGTTCTGAACTCTACTATATTTGCATACTTTTGTTTATGCTCGATTCAAAGCCAGCAAATGCCAGACACTGGTGGCTCATACCTGTAAACCTAGCTACTCAGGAGGCTGAGATCTGAGGATCATGGTTTGAAGCTAGCCCACTCTAGAAAGTTCATAAGACTCTTATCTCTAATTTATCATCAAAAAAGCTGTAGCTCAAAGGGTAGACTGCTAGTCTTGAGCAAAAAGCCAGGGACAGAGCACAGACCCTGAGTTCAAGCCTCAGTACTGGCACACACACACACACACACACACACACCACGGTAAAAGATACTCTTATTTTTTAATTTTTTAGTGATACTGGTGTTTGAACTCAGGGCTTTCTATGTGTTAGTATATGCTCTACTACTTGAGTCATTCTACCAGCCCTTTATGTGTTGATTATTATTTTTTACGTAGTCTGTCTTTATAACAAGCCTACTTGGACTTCAGTCCTCCTATTTGTGCTTCCCTGAAGAGCTAGTATGGCAAGTGCACACAAACTCAAAAAGCTTTCCTCATTGCTGGGATGACAGACATCTGGCCATTGGTCAAAGAGTCTCTTGGGCTTTTTTTTTTTAACCCAAGCTGTCCTTGAACTATAGTCTTCCATCTCCACCTCCCAAGTAGCTAGGATTATAGGCTTGAGGCACCACACTTAGCTAAAAGATACTTTTTACCATCAGTGAATGAGACCAGTGTAATCCATGACAACATATTCTTGTTAGCTTGAAGCCAAATGTCTCAGTCCACTGGGTGTCGTAACAAAGTACTTTAAACTGGTAGCTCATAAACACCAGAAATGTATTGCTCAGAGTTGTAGGGCCTCAAAAATTGAGGATACTCACAAATTTGGTGTCTAGTGAAAGCTCACTAAACTTACTCCTGAGGGCGATGCATTCACTGCTTTAATCACTTCCCCCCAAAGATCTGGAGAAAACAAAAGCATGAGTTCAACTGAATAATGGAGTGCACAGTATTTAAAGAGTTAAAAAGGTTTCCCACAGTGCTATTATGGTGCCAGGAGCTTTTCCTTGACTCAGCTGTACTTGGCATATGCACAAACAAGACTCCTAAAACTAGTGTAGCCATTCACAGAAGCTTAACAGCTTCTACCCCTTGTGACCTAACATTTGCTGAGCCATCATAACACGGTTTTGATTTCTACCATTGAATTAATATCCAACAGTTACTGAGGTGACCCCATTGCCTCAGTTACCTTGTTCACTAACTTTATTTAATTCAACAGATGCTTTTTGTTGTTGTTGTTGTTGTTGTTGGTCATGGGCCTTGAACTCAGGAGCTTTGTGTGCTGTCCCTGAGCTCCTTTGCTTAAAGCTAGAGCTCTACCACTTTGAGCCCCAGGGCCTCTTCCAGTTTTTGAGTGGTTAATTGGAGATGAGAGTCTCAAGGGGACTTTTCTTCCTGGGCTGGCTTGAAGTCGAGATCCTCAGATCTCAGCCTCCTTTTTACAGATGAAGAGGATAAAACTTTGGCTTTTGTAATATAACCACGATTATTCTGTAGGTGACCACACAAATGGGCTGTCTTCTCCAGATCCTGCAGATGAAATGCCATGAAGCCTCTAAAGTGTACTTGGTCACTCTGTACCTAGTGAGCACCTCCTGGGCACTGTTCTTTTGCTGTCCACAAGGCAGGTTACTAAATTTCCAAAGCTGGTAGTTAATAATAAGTTCCAAGTCCTTCCAAACAATTGTGAATTAAACTATGAAAATTAACTTACTCCCCACAGCCCCTGACTCTCAATAGTCTCTATTTATCGCAGCAGTTTTGGTACTATTTGAATCATTTTGAAGTTAAAAATTAGAAAACCATTTTAAAAGACTTCCAAATACAGAGAAAACAGCCAATAGCATTTCACTTTTTTTTTTGCATTAAGAACAGTGTTTTCACTAAGGAATCATTGAATAAGAACCATAAAATGAAAACCTATCACTATTACTCTAAGTACAATAATTATAGTTCACTTGGACTGTGTTTTTGAAAGTAATGGAAGTGGATTCATAAATTTAAAATTCCAACCTTGGTATTGCTTTGCTTTTTCCAAGCTAGTGTGCATTATGGGATTATGTATGAGGCCCTTTTATCATGGCAGGGAATTTATACTCAGGTGCTAGGTGGAGCTAGCACCTCAGCAGTCTTTTCTCTAGGATCCCTCTCTCTGATAGAACAGGGACCTAACCATTCATCTGTCTCTCCTGCAGCATGGCACTACACTCCTCATGGTCGCCTCTTATGCTGGCCACATTGACTGTGTGAGAGAACTGGTCCTACAAGGAGCAGACATCAACCTCCAGAGAGAGGTAGGTCAGGTTGTACATTTCAATCAAAATAATCAGACTAAGAGATCTGAAGTGTTTATAATAATGAGTTGGTAGAGTCATCATTGCTTTTCTCCTACACTGAAACTCATTGGAGAGTTTATTGCACCTATAAAATAAGATCCAAGCATGGACCATTGTCACATACATGTGAAATAATTGTATTTGTCCATTTTGTGCTGCAATTACAGACTGCCTGTTCCCAGGTACCTTACAACAAAATGTTTAATGTGCTCACAGTTGGTAGGCTGAAAGTTCAAGGCCAGATGGCTCCACCTGTCTGGCCTCTGGTGAAGACCCCATTGGCTGCATTCCAACATGACAGAGAAGGCATAAGGGACCCAGAGACGCATGAAGAAGAGACCAAATATATGACGTGGCCCCACTTGCTAAACACCAATGCTTGTGAGAAACAGCTCACACCATGAAACTAGCATTAATTTTTATGCAAGGCAGTATGTGCCAATGACATAATTGCCCCACATTTGAAAAGGCCCAACATTTCCACATCTTCACACTGAGAACCAGGCTTCTAGCATAGAAGCTTTTGGGAGACACACCCAAACCATATCCAATCCATAGCAGTGCCCACACCTCTTGCCACATTCCTTATAGGCTCAGACATCTTGCCTCAAGCATAATTTAGTTCTTCCTCTTTCCCTTGAGATGAGATGCAACAAAATTTATAGGATTTTCATAGAACCCTGTTTTTAGTCACCAGTGTACATGTGATGAAGCTCAGTTGCTAGGCATCTCAACCTCCTAACAAAGTACTTTTCTGCATGGCCTAAAGATCTCCCTAAAAATCCATGTGAGCAAATATTGGCTTTAAAATGTAAACCTGTACTCATACTTCGTTCAAGGATAATCATAGGAGTTTAGTCTTAAAGCCAGGTTTATAGGCAACAGTGATGGATCACGCTTGTATCCTAGCTAATTAGGAGCCCGAGATACAAAGATCGAGGTTCAAAGCTAATCTGGGGAAACAAACTTGAGAGATTCTTACCTCTAATTAACCAGCAAAATGCCTGCAGTAGAGGTATGGCTCAGGGGTAGAGCACTAGGCTTGAGCAATAAAACTACAGCTAAAGCAAGAGCTTGGGGCTCTGAGTTCAAGCCCCAACACACACACACACACACACAATTATATTTATACAATGGAAGTCCAAACTCTAGAAGTTCCACATTTCATGTCTGTCTACTCACCACTATGTGCCAAATAAAGAGATATAGGGAAGGGCAAAGAAAGGAGGTTTGTTAGGTTACAGTCATAGAAAAGAAAAGACACTTGTCTTCTGTTAAATAGGGAAAATTAGGGGCAGGAGATGAGAAAGGTATGCATAGCTCAAACAGTCCCAAGTCACAGGAGTGGTTCAGGTGATGATTATCTCAATCTTCATCCCTAGAGAAGATAACATTCTGCCACTTGAAGGAAGCGAACAAGTCAGTCACTGTTGTTTGGCAGGGGGGCTGTCCGAACTTCTGGCCATTCTCTTTCTTTTTTAAAAATATATATTGTTATTTTAAAGATACTGTACAGATGGGTTACAGTTACATGAGTAGGGTAATGAGTACATTTCCTATTGAGCATTGTTACCCACTCCTTTGTTTTTCCCCCACCATCCCTTCCTTCCCCATTTCCCCAACTCCTCCCTCCCGGCCCAAGCTGTAAAGTTTGCTTTCAACATAGTGTCTTGTACATCTCATTGTTACAATGGGTCATCCTATATCCTTATTTTGACATTTTGTTATTTCCCTTCCCCTCCCCAAATTAGATGTAGGACCTGGAATCAAATACAGTAACAACAGGGGTTGTACCATGGGGGACGAACATACAAAGAAACAAAAAAAAAAATCACATAGTACATTATAAGTACATTAAAAAGAACAACAAGAAAGATAAAATCTCTTGTGTCCCTATCTTGGGGTTCATATCGCTTAACATCATCTTATAGCTTTTGACCTTTATGCTTGTCTCAGACATATACTAGTTATTGTAGATGAGGGAAACCATGGGACCTATGTTTCTTTGAGTCTGCCTTACTTCACTTAATATAATTTTTTTCCAAGTCCTTCCATTTCCTAACAAATGGGGTGGTGTCATTCTTTCTGATTAATGGATCAAGAAAATATGTATATATATACATATATATGTATATATATCACATTTTCTTGTACATCTTGTCTGTATATATATAGACACACACACAATGGCAATTCTATTTCTTTAGAACAGTTTTGCCTTTTGCCACAAGATGATAAGAAGTTGACATTGCCTGTCTGAGGGGCAGTTTGCCTTAGTCACAAGATGCTTGTGGTAAATCCTGTCTTTCTTGGAGTCCAGCGTAGTTGCAAAATGACTGCAGGAAAGAATGGCTCAGATCAAAGGGCACAGGTTCAAAGTGGGGTGGGGGGAAGTGCCCAGCTTTTATCTTGCTTTTAGTAAATACATGGGCCCAGCTAAAGCATTTGCTAAAGTTGCTTCTTACAGTCTCACCTGAGGATCTATTGTTGGTCCAATCTAGAGAAGCAGAAGGGAGATGGGGCATGTCTTCAGGGTTCTGGTCTGAGGAGGTTCTGTATATTTCCAAGCCAACCTAGAATCTGGAGGCAGGTGGAGACATATGTTCCAGTCATCCCAAGAATAAACATAGCCTCTCTATTCACATCTGCATGCCTGGCAGACATCCTAGCCTGCTCCAAACCAGACTGGGCACTTTGTTTTCCTTGATCCAGCCTAATGTTAAAATCTGCCCTGGAGACCATGTATCAACCAAACTATCAGAAATCCAGCATACCTCATCCCTTTCAGTCAAGACCAAATAGAGCAAGTTAAGATAATCAGATCTAAGGACTGTGTCAAAAGTTCCACGATGCATCTTGTCACCCCCTGCATGGTAAACCTTGACTAACAGAATCTGAGGTCTGGTTCTCCATAGCCCTGGTTCACTTGGTCTCTTGAGGAAGAACCATGTAGAGAAACTGCTACAAATTCAGTCTTCTCACAGGCTCTTTTGAGCAATTTGCACAAAAATAGATAGTTGTTTTAGGTCATTTTTTCATTTCAGCAACTGAAGTAAAATTTCCCTCTGGGATGAAAATGGACACATTTAGAAATACAGTTTAAAATTAACCTCATCTTTTTCTGAATTTGTTTTATAGTGCTTGTTTATTATAACTTTAAATCAAAAACACAGATTTTTTTTAATTT